GAGGTACATTTTTGGATGACTTTTCGTTACGTCGTGCTTGCAGGGCCACTGGGGAGAGCGTTTTGGAGGAATTTTTGTGTTTTGGGGTGGTTGCTGCGTTGATTCTTGCTCGGCTGCAGGGCCATGGGGGAGAGCGTTTTGGAGGTGTATTTTTGGATGGCTTTTGGCAAGGCCGAAGTTATATCACCACTATGGGCCCCAAGGTAGACGAAGTTGGCCCTAAGATGGCTCCAACGCAGCCGTAAGACAGCCTGTCCCCAACCTGGCGCCTAGATGGCTACTTCCATTTCACTAACTTCGGCTGTTCGTGCGCGGTGTGGGCGGCTGTCGACGCGAAGCGTCTTGAATGTTTTTTTCAGCGCTTTCCACTACAAAGCCCTGATATTTGAAGAAACCATATACGCCCAGGTGGTGCTAGAAATGTGGCTTGCACATCACCAAGACGTATGTATCTATATACTTGAAAGAAGGCTCAAAATAGAGGAAAAGTGTACAAAAATGGCTACTGTAAATCTCCCCTTAGCATACTTTCTTCTCTAGAGATAAAGCTTTACAGACTGTAAAGCTTTATCTGTAGAGAAGAAAGTATGCTAAGGGGAGAAGAAGTTTTGAGGTAGCAGTTGTGTCGAGCACCATTGGCATCACCAGAGTACGAGCAGCATTGTTTATAAACTACATACATGTTGCAAAAACACTGTAATTTACTGTGTTTTGGGCCTAGTGATGCACCAAAGGATTTGCATCTTTCCTGCTGAGACTCTGCTGATGCTAATGATGCTCGACCAAAAGTTGTTCTCAAAATTTGTTTCCATTTTCAACGCTTTTCTACAGGTTTTGAAGCTATAAGTTTTACAGTGGCCATTTTGATCCCTTTCCCTTTGTTCTTGACGAAGTTCAACTAGGCTCGACCAAATCATATCAGGGGCCAGCTGAAAATCTACAATGTGAAACAAAATCACAGTAGGTTCCTTACATCACAGCTTGGACTAGACGGTTGCATTGAAGGCGCAGAAACCTGATGATGGCGCCCAGTCTCTCCAGAATCGACACAAGCCAGCTTCGTTAGCACACTTTCGTCATGAGTTCAAAGAAACTCATCTTTTCAGTGAAACGCAATAGAACAGGGTTTAGGAGCCAGAGGCAGAGCAGGTAGGAGGCCCAGGCCAGGGCTTTGGGACAAGAGGCAGAACAGGTAGGAGCTCTAGGGCCAAAAAAGGGATTCCGAAAGGATGCCAGACGACAGTTTCGAAACGCAACGCAAGAAACTTTAGGAGCCAGAGGCAGAGCAAGTAGGAGGCCCAGGCCACAAAGGCAGAGCGGTGCCAAAAAAGAAAAAGGGGAGGTGCCGCCACAGCCTTCCCCCCAATTGATTCTGCGCGCAAAAGGGTTCGGAAACGGTGCCAGACGGCAGAAACGCTGAAAACGATCTAGGAGCCAGAGGCAGGAGCCCGAGGCCAGAGGGCTTTAGGAGCGAGAGGCAGAGCAGGTAGGAGCCCCAGGAAAGGGTGCCAGACGGCAGTTTCGAAGCGCAATTAAACAACTTTATTGGGAACCGGAGGGTAGCGCCATAGCCTTGCCCTATCTAGTTCTGCAAGCTCTGTTCTCTCTACTAGTAGCGTTATGAGCCGAGGTATAGCGCCACCGTGGTTGCAAAGAACCTCCCACGTTGCAACCGTATCCGAGGCGCCGCCCCGACTAGGCATTAGCCGGGGTCGGCGGATAAGCTACTAGGTTGGAGGTCACGCTATTAGGTTCCTCAAAGTAGGCCTATTATGCACTCACACAAGCTAACTCTTATCGCGAGAGGCCTAGCCCCCATGGATGCTCACCTGGCTGAGTGCGGTTGGAGCTGACAGAGCTTAGCAGCTTTCACATGTGTCACCTCTTCGACTCCCTTGAATTTTATTTTGACATCATTCTGGTTTGAGACAGTATCCTAGATTAACTTTATTTTTTTTTGTGACGCATGTGTTTGTACATGAAGTTCTATGGAGATGTGGAGATGAAACTTGAGAAACCGCAGCCTTAAACACATACATTTCATGAAACTACATCAAGGTTTGGTTTCTTTCTCTTGGAATCACTTTAGAGCTCTGTCGGCCCAAACCCAGTATGGGGAAGCGCCAAAGTGTGGCCGCGCTTGATCTTCCGAGGTGCAGAGGCGCTAGAGTACTGGTCACTGGTAGTCTGACCTTAATGCATATCGGCATATTTTTTCCAAAGCAGAATATAATATACAATAAAAACAACAAACACATATCATGAATAGACTTTAGACATATCAGACACTCAGACTTTAAATCTTTGCACCTCTGACCTGTGCAAAAAATGGTGACAAAGCCGTGACGGCGGTGACTTGTGTCGTGGATTGGCAAGTGAAGTTGAACAAACAATCATTCTCCTGCAGCATGTTTTGCACGTGACCCAAACAACATCAAGGCAGCAGCACATTAGCTGCGTATTTGCATTGCTTCGATGGTACAATCGGACGCACAACCGAAACATTCGTCATAGGCCCTAACGTAGCCAATTTCTGACATGGCTTCTAGGTTGGAGGCCATCGCTATTAGGGGGCAGAGTGGCCTTTAAAGGATAGTTATATAACATAATTTCATCTCCCATTTCTCATATCTTAGTGTCGTGAAGCCTTCGTGTGACCTTTGTGCTCGAATGATAGGCGGAGACCTTTGAAGGTGCATTCTTAAAGACTTCTTTCCAAGCTTGCTTCGAGCAAAATGGGCCTTTAGTCACCCCAAAGTACATCTCAAGGCATCGGTATTGAGCGGCTGAAGGTCATGGGTAGACTTGTCAATGCCAGACCAGCGACCTAGTCTTTAGTGCAAGTGTCCGGCAAGGCCTTTGTAGCACGTGTCTGAAGATAGGGTGCTGGAAAGTTGGAACTTCAGCCTGTGGCCAGATGTTTGGCGAGTTCGACAAGCAGTGTTTGTCTTAGCCAACAGACATAGTCGGACATAGTATTGGTTGATCAGCATCCTGTTCTTGATGCCAAAGTGCACTCAGGCAAGTAAGGTAAGATAATTTTCAAGTAAAATGAGTGATTGGCGACATGCGCAGCAAAAGCCGTCCGTGTTGGAAATCCTTCACCATGGTCTCTGACTTGTTAGTACATCGTTCTTGGCACGTCAACCATCTCTTGTGGCTTGTTGTGGAATATTCTTTGCAAAGCTCAACAGGTGAGATTTTCTCGTCCATTCCTTGTCCTCACTGTGGGCCTCCTACCTGGGCTTCTTCTTGAGGCCGATGCGAGTTTTTTTGCCTTGATGCTCGCTAGTTGAAGGTGGATAACTCCACCACGGCATACATCATAACATTCAAGTTACATCTTCTTGTTCAGAGTTTGGTACTAGAAACCTGGGTTCGCCCTCTCACTGCTCACTGTTTCTCCTAGCTGTGGAAGGAGCTCAAGGCTGAAAACCTCACCGTGATGCCCGTAAACATGGATGCGTCTGGGACCTCGGAGCTGGTCGTGTGAGGTTGAGACATTGACGCCGAAACATGGGACAAGTGGAGACAATGCACTTGTTCCTAGTAGCTTCTTGTTACTACTAGTAAGGCACTTG